TATATATATATATATATATATATATAATAAAGTAAAGTAAAGTACGAAAGAGATTTTTACCGTCGGCTTTGATTGAGGAAAACAAAATCTTCTTTGAAATTCATGGAAAATCATTTATAAACTATTTGAATAATCAGTCGAAATGATCAAAAACATTCGAGACCCCATATGTTATCAGTCAGACTTTGAWGAATGACACATCAGATAAGCTCAAACCAAACTAATAATATTAGTAAATAGATAAATCGATCTTTTTTGGTATTTTTGCAAAGACCAACTCGTCGCGCGCATTTATGCCATTTCAACACAGCGATACCATCCCTAAAAAATTTGTCCAAGAATTTTTCCCCTTTTCCCCCCTTCTTTCTGTGCGGCAACTGTGCCTGTAAAGAAACTGTAAGCAAAGTTGGGCTGCTTTTATAGGATGTAGTGTGTAGTATTATCAGTATGTTTCTTCATTTGTCGTTACCGTAAACTGACACAAAGGGGCTGTTACTTTCAAACCTGATGTTTGTTAGAGGTCACTGACTAAAGCCAATATTTAAACATCAAAAGTACAAGGTCTCTAAATCTCGAAAATAAAACTCTTCGTTCATTTATTTCTTTTTACTGACAGAAATAAATCATTATATTGGACCGGATAGCGTTTTTTTGTGTTTTTTTTTTTGGCCTTTTGCACATAATTTCTAAAAGTCGCTTTTGTTTGAGTTTTTATCTTTCACTCTGTTTATTTTTTTATTATTTATTTTTTTAACTCTTTTAAGCTCGCCTCTTATCGGTATTTAAGTTCAACTGACTTTTGCTTAAGGATTTCAGTTTTTGACTGAGAGCTTTTTCTTTTCCCTTCATTTTTTTTTCCTTTTCTCCCTTTTACAATTCATTTCCTAATTCGATTCTGCGCTYCATTTCAACTAATGTATTCCCCGTGTTAATCCGACTAAAAATGTCATCAATATCTCGCAGTTCCTTTCAGAAATCTTTTGTTAGGTTTTACTATTTTGAATTAGTCTGAAACTAAACCTCTACTTTTCAGGTTAATCCCTTGACATTATGTCACTCAGATACCTTGATAATTACACGAGAAATGGAAATGCCCGGTTCATGGCACCAATTTTCCTAACGTTGTTTTCTCATCACTTTTTCCTCAGCTATTCTAGGCGGATTATTTATAACAGACACTTCAGGTAAGACTGTGACGTCAAGGAAGGAAAGACTTTCTCTAGAGGATTAATGTACTCGAGATAAGTTATCTGTTATCGTAAGAGTCCATCTCTGTTCTTACATCTTCAGTTGCGAAAATCTATTTTTCAGTGTTCAGCTGCCTATTCTCTTATATTTGATGTTCATGACATGTTTTGTTTTTTTTTTTTTGCCAATATCATTTTGAGTCTAGACAAACGTCTTATAACCCTTATATTTGGTAGTTTTTACTTTATTCTTATCGTGTTGGGCATTCGCTTACCAAGGCTTGGGAGACGAACAAACGGTCTCATARCAATTGTTACCAAATTTTCCCTTTCTTTCCCCCCTGGACTGACTTTCGGGAACATGTTCTAGGATCGACAATACTTTCTAAAGGCTAAGCACCAGTCCTGGAAGCGATGCTTGAGTGACAAAATCCCGAAGTTCTCAGAGCGAGCTTTACTATGAATGTCAATTGTTTTTACGCGCTTCAACATCTTCGGGAATTTTTAAAATTCTAATTTGCCTTGTGAAGTGAAAATTGAATTTCTCATGCATTTTTCTAATGCCCATTCTAATTTCTTTTTACACAGCTCGCCGTTGTCCTACTGCTGGCATATTGGCCGGTTACAGTGGAGTTGTATCGAGTCCTCATTTTCCTGAGGATTATCCTCATCGTGTGAACTGTGAATGGATCATTATGGTACCAAAAGGATACCACGTTCAATTGGTCTTCACCACCTTTGATATAGAATACTGTGTATTTTGTAAATGTGATTATGTGGAGATCCGAGACGGCCGAAATTCCTCGTCTCCTTTGCTTGGAAAATATTGCGAAAATGGTAAATTGTCGCCCATCTATTCAACCGGAAGACATTTGTGGATTAAATTTTATTCTGACGTTGGTGCAAGATTTCAAGGTTTTCGCGCCGTTTATAAAGCCAAAAAGACAGGACAAAGTAAGTTTAAAAATCATACTCGAAAACTCTGTACTACATCTAGAAGAACATGCACTTTCTCCAGGGATCGAGGGAGAGGCCTATAGTTAAGTAAGGGGCAAACAAATACATGCGCTCTGCGCGCTGACTTGCGCATGCGCAACTACTATCTCGCTSGCTACTAACTTCTCCAACTGAAAATACTTTTTCTAGTTATTTCTTTGATGGAACAAAAACCGCATTACGACGTAAACAAAATAAGCTGCTTATAACAATCTCATGTGTGTGTGTGTTTTTTTTAAATTGCCGCTAAGGATTACCTCCAGTTATCAAAGTCTAAAAGTCTAAACATTTTTTTTCAGCTTATGGAAAAATYATTAATGTCAGAGGAGAACGTGGTCTGATCTCTAATCCCAAGACTATCGCGGCCTGCGGTGCCGACCGCCGATGCGCGTGGCTTGTCCGGGTTAAAAAGGCTAGTCAAATAAAGCTTAGGTTTGATCGGATATCACTTTCAGAATGCTCGACACCTTGTGGATGTGATTATATCGAAGTCAGAGATGGAAGTAATTCATCTGGTAGACTGATTGCAAAATTCTGTGACAGTATTGCAAAACCGGAAAATATTTGTTCAAGCACAAATCTTCTTTGGATTCAATTTAAATATGGATTAGACCTTGCGGATCATGGTTTTCGGGCTACTTTTGAGAGATCTCAATGTAAAGCCAGAAAAAGTCCAGAACCTACGATACAAGTCATGACAGGTATAGTAGACACTATAGTACTGAATGAATGACCTCYATAAGTAACTTGACATAGTATGGATGTGCGGTTTCAATTGGACTATGCGAATAAGAGAAAGACTSGAAAGATTTACCTTTATATCTCAGACACACTGTTTCTAATGAAAAGGGGAACCAATTTGATGTGATAAGGTAACCCAAAAATTAAGGCGTGGTATGTTTTTTTTTTCAGTGTGTTTGTTGGACAATAACCAAATTACCATCATTATACCAGTATTTATAGACTAAGCCCTTCCTAAAGACTCCCAAATCCCCAATTTGGAGATAAGGCACCGTAAAGACCTTTTCCCGTTTTCCTGAGATTATAGCTGATTTCATCACAGCTTTAGCACGGTGTGTAGAATGGCGGAGCTTTTTATTGTACGAATATCTGAAATGGATTGTCGCCTCGTTTTCTTCTCAGGTACACTGGATACAGTCGTTGGTCTGTTATGCGCAAGCTTCGTTTTTATGGCTTTTATGACATTATGCATGGTRTGCATTGCGAGTAGAAAAATATCATTTAATAGAAAAACGCGTAACTCGAACACAACTAACAACCAAGTAACAAGAGAACAAGAAGAAATGTGTGATATCAATCTTTTGGAAAAGGCTCCCAACATTTGTCCGCATCATACGCATGCGTACTGGCACTACTCCAAAAGTTCTGAGACTGATTACAGTGAGGAGACAGAAAAACATGGATGTGAATCCGAGAATGAAATTCCGGTACATTTTTGCCGGAATTGCAAGAAAGGGCCACACAATCGACCCATAGCAGTTTTATAACATTTTTATAAATAATAACTTCTGAGCTTATTAAGTTGTTGTTTTTTTTAATTGGAAAAAAATATTTTTTATAAAAGGAAAGGTAGGATGCAGATTCGGGAGGTGGAGCTGGGGTTATAAATGAGCGTAACAGTCAACTCCCAAGAAATTCTTCGATATATAGAATTGAAAAAGTTCACTCGAAAAGTGAYAAACTTTAAGATTTGTAAAAATTAAATTACTATAATGTTGAATTCTGAGTCTAGCGTAAKCGAATAGACTAGAAACTGAAGGCAAAAATGTAAATAATATTGGCCAAGATAAATATTTTAAAACTATTAAACGAAAAAAGGAGCATGTGTGTCCCAGCAGATRTAACTTAAATTTTATATGAATGTCAAAAATTAATAAAGGAATATCATTATATAAAGTTTTTCTATGAACGCACATGGCAAGAAAATTTAAATCCTACAGCCAAGTACCCTGGGTCGCCGCTMTCAGGCCCCGTCCACACTATGCCGGATAAATTTGGATAGCAACTTTCGCATCGAGACCGAAAAAAAAGTTTTCCGTCCACACGTGAAAACGGATAAAATGTTTCGTGTCCACACTAGTCCGATCAGAGGCGGCAAAAACGCTTCTTTGCACATCCGAGCATGAGCATCGAAGCTGAAATCGAGCCCGCGGTGAAATTTTAGCGCTTCCTGCCATGTTCCCATGAAAATCATGACGTCATCGTATTCATTTAGGATCATGCTCTCCGTCCACAATACGGCTAGCCGGCGTTTTCAAATTGTTCCACTTTGGAGACCGTATTCGAAAAATTCGTTTTCGGTGAAGAATTGTTCCGGATTCGCCCGGAMTRGTGTGGACGGTAGGCCTAACCGAATRAATAAAAATTCGGATYCAAATTTATCAGGCATAGTGTGGACGGGRCCTCAGWCAGTAAATCCGCGGAAAAAATCCCTCTGGRACCCAGGGAAACCGCCAAGCGACMTCRGTGCGCCCAGACGCTGGGTGCAATAATTTCTCAAYAAATATAAAAGGAGTTCAGTAAACGATTGTTTCCCAGAATTATCTGCAAGTGTTTGACTCCTGCTTACTGACAGAACTGAACTACGAAGAATTTATGTATCACTGGATTTATGTTATCTTAGTGCTTTACTTACAGTTCAATCTTGCCTTCTTCTTGTTCATCTTCTTGTTTTTCTTCTTCTTGTTTTTCTTAACTTGTTCTTCTTGTTCTTCTTCTACGGTTCTTCCTCGTTTCTTCCTCGTTTCTTCTTCGTTTCTTCTTCGTTTCTTCTTCGCTTTCTTCTTGTTCTTGTTCTTCTTTGCTGATTTAAATTTAGATCCGGGTATTTTTGTATGCTAGCATTCCCGTATGTGCGCGCGCGGCAAAAAAGCGCGCGAAACTTTAAATCTGAGCCTTCGGCCAGCGGCATAGACGTCTCATTATCCGCCATGATGGATGAAGGTTAGTATGGTAAAATACTGCTTGCAGTTATTAAGAGATAAGTGACCACTGCTTTATATCGTTACGTAGCTAAAGGTTTTCCTTGATATCAAGGTGAGTGAGGCTACTAGAATATCAGATTAAATATAAAATGCTGGATAGCATGGCTGCAACTGGCAATGATTGTCAGTATAAAGTTGTCGGAAATCCTCATGATGCAGCTGATAAAGTGAACGATACTTCGAACGTTGCTAATACTCAGAATTTCTTAATTAATCATTTACCGTTAATGCTAATGAGTGTTTTTATAATACTGATTCGTTACGATACTGGTTTAAAGAGAATGTTTTTGCATGACAAGAGTTTTTTTTGCAGCAATTGAATAATGACAATTTTCTATTCTAAAATATGTGAAGCATTTACTCGAATATTTTGACCCATATTTTTGGGCTAAACTTATTACCATAAATAAAACTTTGAAAGCTCTCTAAAGATTTAGGAATAACATTAGAAAATTATGATTKGTAAAACTTTCTTTCAGCTCATGTAAGGACTGTGGTTATATGGTAAAGCTGGTAACTTATTTTAATTTATTAATACAATTTATTACATATATGGTTTAATGGTTTCTCTCTCTCTCCTATCTCTGTCTTTGTTATTATCATCATCATTGTCATTAGTATCATTATCCTCCTCCTCATTATCCTCCTCCTCACCCTCACCCTCACCCTCACCCTCACCCTTACCCTCACCCTCACCCTCACCCTCATCCTTGTCATGTCCTTGTCCTTGTCCTCCTCCTGGTCTTAGTCCTTGGCATTGTCCTCCTCCTCCTCCTTCTTCTTCTTCTTCATCTTTTTGTTATTGTCATTGTCATTATCATTTATTATTATTTAACAATTATTCGCTGAAAGCAAAGTGACTATCAGAGGAACATTTACTGAGCGGGGAGGTAAATATTCACCATAATCACTGAGCCTGAGGGGAATTATTGTTATAGCATAATTTTAGACTTGAATATCAGAGAAAAGTCCAAATCCAGAATAAAAATATGTTTTAGTAATACTTTCGATCTGGAAAACTTTGGAAAACCACATAATGACCAATTATCATCTCAGAATCACCAGTCGCTCAACCAATCACTGCTCAAGGATCTCTATATTTAAGTCTAAAATTATACTAATATTATTTATTTTCATTATTTATAATAATATTATCAATTATCTTCCTGTCGGTGTAAACATTGAAGTCCCAGAGGATTTTGACATCTTCATTTTCCACAACTGTTTCTGGTTGATGATTCCACCATTTTTTCAGCACAGTCTATTCCATGTTTCTTACATAATTGCCAGTGGATATTTCTAGCAACATCATTGTGCCTTTCTTTATACTGCTATATCACATCATTCCTATACTCATTATACTTTTTATAGTATTATTTAATACTGTTATTATTATTATTACTATTATTATCATTTATTCATCTATTCATTCATTCAGTCATTCAGTCATTCATTTATTCATAGAATTATTA